CCGCCATGTTTATTGGCGACCCACCGTTGTCGTGTTCCTCGACATCAAAGGTGCCTTCGATTCGGGTTAATCGATGTGCCCTTTGGAAATGTCTACTCAGGAAAGGTGTGCCCAAAAAATATGTAAATATTATCCAAACATTATACGCGCGTAGAACGGGCAGAGTGAGAGCTTACGGCAAGCTGTCGTCGCCCTTTACTATCTCCAGTGGTGTGAGACAAGGATGCCCGCTGTCACCTTACCCCTTCAACTTCGCTACTGACGAAGCCATGGAGTTTGCATTTACAGGACATGACTTGGAAGGTGTGGAGCTACTCCCAGGAGAACGACTTCTTGACTTGGAGTATGCAGACGACATTGCCCTCATCTGTGACAGCTCCCAGACGTGCCAAGCCCCGCTGGACAGATTAGCACTGGCTGTCAGCCGCTTCGGGCTTTGCTTTGCACCATCGAAATGCAAAGCCTTCCTCCAAGATTGGTAGGGATCGCCTCCTGCGATGACAATTGGTGGGGATCAGCTAGAAGTCGTTCAGAAATTCAACTACCTTGGAAGTTGTATCAGCGCGCTTGGGATCGAAGACGAGGTCACGAGCCGTACAGCAAAAGCTCGAAGTGCTTTTGCTAACCTTCGCTACCTATGGCGACGGCGCGACATCACTCTTACCCTGAAGGGCACAGTGTACAGTGCAGCCGTCCGTTCTAACTTACTGTACGGTTGCGAAACCTGGCCCCTAAGATCGGCGGACATGAAGAGGCTAGTCACGTTCGACCACCGGTGCCTTCGCAATTTGGCTCACATCTGTGGGAACACCGCGTGAGTAACGAGCGTGTTCGACGCCTTGTTTACGGCACAGGAAAAGGAACTGAACCGCTCAGCACCGTCATTTCACGCACCAGGCTCCGATGGCTGGGCCACGTGTTGCGCATGCCAGCCCATCGACTTCCACGACGTGCGTTGTTTGCTCACCGAGGATGTGGATGGAAGAAGAGAAGGCATGGCCAAGCGATGACTTGGTCCAGAGGAATGAAGGCCCTCACTTCTGTGCTGGCCTTGGTTGGAGTTTCACGGCTCCCTGGTTGGGGTCCAAAAGACGGTGAACACGTTTGGCTGGATACACTTGTTGACATGGCAAGGAGCCGACCTCAGTGGCGTTCCTGCTGTGAGTATCTTTGTCCCACCCCATCCCTCTTAGCCTCCCCCTCCACCCGCAATCTCATTTCTTAGCGTAAAACATAATAATTTTTTTGCCTGGTAGCCGACTGGTAGCTTACCGGAACCATGTCTATCCGTTGCTGGTAGCTCAGCTGGCATGCAACTTTTGTATTTATTTTCCTTTTTCCTTAATGTATTTCGGCACAGTAGCTGAGGTGTTTCCCACCTCTAGCTGACGTGTATAATGATGATGATGATGAGCTGGCTATGGTATGGCACGAAGACATACGCATGCCTATACTTATAGGCTAGGGGTACACAGACAGCAGACCAGCTCCCAGGAACGTGACCTTGGTGTCCTCATACAGAACGACATCAACTGTTCAAGACAGGCTAAGAAAGCAGTTAGAGGACGCAACCGACATGACGGCCTGCTGCGAAAGGCATACGGGAGTTTTGAAACATCAATCTTTCCGATGCGCAATCACGTTGAATACACTATCCAACCTTGGCAACCTTGACTGAAGCGCGATCTCGAGGTGCTAGAGACATTATACCACAGGGTAAGAAAGAAGGTCAGGGGTCTAATCAACATATATATATATATATATAGCCAGTGAAAACCATGAAATGGAATAATTACAGAAACTACAAACAAAAAGAAAAGGATGATAGTTACAAAAAGCTTTCTTTGGACTCTTGGTTGACTTTTTCGTAATTTTTCGCACGTCGTTTTGCTTTTCTCATCTGTTTAATGTTGCCGATGTAGATCAAGAAAAGGAAGACAAATATTCACACACAATTTTCCATTGGGCCAGTTCTGTGCCAAACCCGAAAGAGTTTTCAGCCAACGGTGTTGGTCATCTTTGATCCCCCAGCCGGGAAGAGGCATGGGACCTACAACAGCTAAACTGGAAGTCAGCGCTTTAATCGTTTGTCGTCACGTGTTAGGCTGAACACCTCGTGATTTCTCCCAGCCGAGTTGTGTGCGAACGAAGAGAGCGCGTCGGGGCAGCCGTTCGCATGGCATGCGTAAAACGTGGCCCAGCCATCTCAGTTGGCGCAGCGGTACCAGCCTGTCAAGTGGAAGTCCTGTGTTACCCAAGGCACGACATGGAACATCGTCATTGCAAACGTGCTTCATCCAGCACACGAGCTATTCTGCACAGACATCCATTGTCGAAGGCCGAAATCCGATGCAAGTCCATCACACGAATTGGCCAGGTCTCACTCCCATACAGTAGCACCGCGCGAAGACAGGCATTGTAGACCCTGCTCTTTACCAATAGTGTAACCTCACGGCGTCGCACAGATGCCTCAAATCGGTGAACGCTGAACGGGCATTGGAAATGCGGAGGGGAATCTCTCTTCCAATCCGACCATCAGCAGAGACAACGTTTCCCATGTAAACAAAGCTGTCCACTTGTTCAAGCTGCGTACCTTGAAGAGTGAGCACTGGGGCAGGTAGATGTCAATCCAGGACCAGGAAATGTATTTCGTAGAGTCAAAACCTATGCCATATTCTGATATTTCAATCGCCAAGCGGTGTGGAACAGCCTGTGTACGTCATCACAAAGCAAGGCAATATCATCAGCATGATTTAAATCGGTCACGCGGTTACCAGGAAGAAACTACACCAAAACCCTGAAATCCTAGAGAGCGCTTAAAAGGACATCCTCGATCGCAAAATTGAAGAGAAACTGGGACATGGGGCAACTCTGTTGTACAGCGCCAGTGATGGCAAAAGGTTAAGAGGACATAACGTAAGCCCTCACTTGAGCTGAGACATTACACTATAATGCTCGCTGGATGGCGATATACTTTTCGGGTACTCCATTCCTTTGTAAGTAACACCATAAAGCTGGCCGATCGACGGAGTCGAAAGTGGGTCGGATGTCTAAAAAACAACGATAGTGAGCTGGCGGTCAAGATGACGTGTTTCAAGGAGTTGACGGGGCGTAAAAGAGTGGTCTAAACACCCCCATTTAGAGCGGAAACCGGCCTGTTCTTCATGGGAGCTCAATTCTCGAATCGGGGTTAGTCTACGGAGTAGAATGGATGGTAATATCTTGAAGGCAACGTACATTAGACTGATTCCTCGGTGGTTAGCGCATAGGGCGCGGGTACCTTTTGCGAAGGTCGGGACGATAACTGACTCGTCTCAAGCGGATGAAACTATTTCTTCACACCAGAACAGAGCTGTTAGCTGGTTGACAATTGCTTCGCCACCGAACCTGAACAGCTCCGTCCGTCTGGGTCAGCAGATTTGAATCGCTTCAATGTCAGAGCTCAAGGCAGACCTCAGCTGCAGTGGGTGATTCCAAGGATACATTCCAAAGCGCGTTCGCCGGCGGAGGATGCCAGCTGAATTGAGTTCAGAAGTGGTCAGCCGTGGCAGTTCATGCGCCTGTGTAAGTTGGTGATCGGCGTTCCGTCAACCGCGCAAATAACCTCATTCACACCACGTCTTTTGTGACCAGTGGCTCGAATGACCTGGAAGAGCTTGCGAAAGTTTCCAGAGAGGGCTGCTATTTCCATCTATGAGGTGCGCTGGGACCGCCAAGTTTTGCGATCAGCTCGCAGGCTTTGATTAAGTTGTCGGCTGAGGATGCGACGCATTGCAATACTATTTGAGTTGGTCGAGATAGCTCTATGAGAATCAAATGATTCTAGTGAGTGTACGGAAACCCAGCAGCAGCGGAAATCCGCATATTGAATGACTGGAAGATAGCATGCCTTCAAGAAGGAAACTCCAATGATTTTCGATGTCCCGAGGTGGAGTACAAATGAATGCATGCGACAAGAAAGCTTGATAAACTGATCGAATAGAGAGGTCAGCTAACTTGTTGGTGTCAAGCGTATGGTGGTTTCGTTTTGAGGAACCACCGAATCTCATGCAGACGTTCGCGTAGACCAAGACATGATCTGAATCGTGTACGTAGATCAAATCGGTCTGCAATCCCGGACGCTGCCTCGACATCTAAACCTGATTACAATGTGATCTATTTGTGACCACGCTTGTGGTGAAGGAGGACGCCAAGTGGCTGCATGTCTTCTAGTATGCCTGAAGTTCGTATTTGAGAGAAAGAGACGGTGGTCTTCGCATAACGTATGAAGTCTCCGTTGTCAGAACGACTCTCACCAAAATGACGTTCGCAAGGAAGCAGGAGACCTACTCGTGCATTGGCATTTCCGGCAAGTACGATGACATCTGACATCTTATCAGCAAAGGTTGAGGGATTTTAGTGGACGCCATCAACGGCTACGCGGAAATCTCATAGGCACTTATACAGGACCTGGTAGTATCTGTTAGGACATTCCACACGACAGGGTACCTGAGGAAAAAGAATTTGGTTTGAATGGCGAAGATATTCAATTCGTATTTCACCTGTATGACCGATATCAGTTTTCATACAAACGGAGTCGTAAGGTCAACAGTATGAATGGACCAATTCAAGGGCGTAAGGCTCAGTTTCGCTGAACTTCTAAAGTCCGCTGGGTGGTCGGGTTGCAGTACACAATCGCAAGTAAACCATGATCATTCCGATTGTTGAGAGTGCATCGAAAGAAGACAATTTGGATAGTTACCTTCTCCGAATATGGGCTTCGCACTCGTCAAGCAAGCAGAGCTAAATAGTTTTGCGACAAGGGTTGTAATTGGCGATACTCACCACACTAGATCAGGATGTTCAGTGGGGGTCGCAAAATTCAAACATCAAGTAGGCATCTCTCAGTTAAAAAGTGAGATAACATAGAAGCAGTTGTGGAACGCGAGTTGAAGCGAGTAGCACAAGAAATAACCCAATGGTAAGTTTCAAGACCATGAGATTTAGGAATCGGGACTCACTTCATGTATCCATTCGTAAACCCGAAACCCTTCAGTCTCCATATCCATGACCCACGGGCAAAGCAGCTGCAAAAGGCGAGATGCGAAATCTAGTGCCGAGGCCACAGGGAAATGTGGGCGCTGTTTGCCCAAATCCGCACCAAAGTTAGCAAGTGGGACGGAATCTGGATCTGAAGAGCTCCAACGTTTGGCATTCGGAATGCAAGGAATAAATGACCGCCAACCGGATGGTTTGAACGTTCTCGAAGACAAGGGTGCCTGACGGACGGAGCACTGAAGCGTAAAGCAGGGTAGAGAGTGGGTTAGTGCCCGACGCTTGAGTTCCAGAATAATCTACCGAAAGAGCAGTGCGTGGAGCAATGATAATGTGCGCGTCAGAGGGGAACAATAGAGGAATGGCGTTATGGATGGCAGACCAATACGGAGAATCGCAGCGAGATGCTCCACGGAATGGAGGTATGAATTGAGGCACAAAGATGAAAGGAACACGTACCTATTGTTCTTCAGTACAGAGAGAGAGCATCAATAAACGTCGCAATGACCTACTAAATCGCTCGTCGTAATCTTTGTAAAAAAAAGACTGCCCACAGAAAGGGTTGGTGCAAAATAAGTCAGGGCAATGTCACAAGAGTTGGACTCGTGGTTGGAAGAGAAGCCGATCACAAGAGCGCCAGTGAACAGCACCACAACAGCAAAGTTCACCTTTTGTAACATAGAGAAAGTAATGTGTATAGTTTCTCCAGTATGCACTGTTATTTCACATTGTACCCATGAAAGTCAGATGCGCGAGTAGGAGGTCGGGTTTCGTTGAAATCGAGGCTGCATTGACCACGTCTTCGCAGTACATCAATTGTTGAAGCACCGACTTCTTTACTGGCGACCCACGCTCGTCATGTTCCTAGACATCAAAGGGGCCTTCGATTTGGTTGATTGATGTGCCCTCCCGGACTGTCTACTGAGGAAAGGTGTGCCCGAGAAATATGTGCAAGCCAGAAGAGCACCGTACGCGCATAGTTCGGGCAGTGTGAGGGTTTACGGAAAAATTTCGCCTCCGTTCAACATCCCCAGCGGTGTGAAACAAGATTGCCCGCTGTTAAATTTCCTCTTTAACTTCGGTATTGATGAAGTCAAGGAAATGGTGTTCGCCAAGCATGACTTAGAAGGTATGGAGCTGTTACCATGTGGTGGGCTGCTCGACTTGGAGTATGCCGACGACATTTCCCACATCAGTGACAGCTCCCGAACGTGCCAAGTTGTACTGGACAAATAAGCTCCGGCTGTCGGTTGTTTCGAGATGTGCTTTGCACCCTCGAAATGCAAAGCGTTTCTCTAAGATTAGCAGTGGTCCACTCTTGCGCAGAATAGTAATAAATAAATAACGTGTCAGCTGTACGCCGTAACGGCGCTTTGCTGCCGCGCGACCACCACCAGTCGCGCGTGGACTGAGTATACCGCGAGGATGCCTGTCCCTAGGTGAATTCGAACCGGTTACCTTTTGATTGCAAGCATGCAAACCACTCATCCAGTAAACCCTTGGCGGTAACCCGGTTGAAGTCAAAAAGAAATTTCAGCATCTGGGCAGCTCTATTAGCACCCTAGGGATTGAAGATGAAATCAGGAACCGTGTAGCAAAAGCTCCAGGCGCTGTTGAAAATATCCGCCAACTGTGGCGCCAGCCTGACATCACTCGCGTTCTGAAGAGCAGAGTTTCTAATGCAGCCGTGCGTTCAACTCTCCTGTACAGATGCGAAACTTGCCCATCAAGTCGAGAGAGGTAAAGAGCCTTATTGCGTATGACCATCGCTGCTTACGTAGCTTAACTAATGTCTGGTGGGAACACCACGTAGGCAGGTAGTGTGTTTGGCGTCACATATTTGATACAGGAAGACCGAGTGAACCGCTCAACAACGTGATATCCCGCATCCGGTTCCGATGGCTAGGCCATACGTTGCGCATACCAGTACACCAACTGCCGCGGCGTGCATTGTTTGCGCAAGCAGGGTGTATATGGAAGAAGAGGAAGAGAGACCAAGCTATAATTTGGCGAAGAGGAATGAACTCTCTCATTTTGAAGTTGGCGTCGGTTGGTGTTTTTCGATTGCCTGGCTGGGTACCGAAGTACCATGAACACGTATGGTTGGATACACACTTGTTGATATGGCAAGCAGCCGACCTCAGTGGAGTGTGTGTGTGATTATCTTTATTCGTGTTGGCCGGTGGCCGAGTGGTCTGCGCGCCCGGTTTGCAATCACAAGGTCGCCGGTTCGAATCCGCGTAGGAGTAGGCGTCGTCCTCGCGGTATACTCAGCCCGCGTGCGGCTGTTGGTGGTCGCGCGGTAGCGAAACGCCGTTGTGGCGTACAGCTGACACATTATTTATCCGATTATCTTTGCTCGTCCGCTCACCTTTAGCTTCCCCTTTCAACAACGATCTTAAAACCAATGCATAATGTTAACTTTTAAGCAGTTATCTTTTTAGCAGTTGTAGTCTGTAATCTTTAATATCTTATCGTTTTTGTGTTACGGAACATTAGCCGAGGTATGTTTCTCACCCTCGGCTAACGTGTATTGAAGATGATTGATGATGTTATCACACATACATTCCGACGGCCAGAGCCGCATTACAATTGAGGTAGGTTTCGATGTTGCATGTTGCTGACTCGGCCGATTTCATCCTTGGTATAACGCTTCAGGTATGGATATCTGGAGATGAAGCTTGAATCCTATTCACATGGTGGGGTTTCGGCAGACGATTCAACGCACGCGCTTAACGAGGATGGGAAATTTACTCCGTGACCATTTAGAAACTAAAAAAGTGTATTCATAACCAATGAGCACATTGGCTTAGTGATGGAAGCATCAGTCAAAAAACCCAAAAAGTCACGAGTTTAATTCCAAGTCCCGTTTACCTCTACCGAAAGCGTACAAACAAGCACTCGATTATTATTCATGAAGCACAAACATGCGAGCCAGTGACACCAACAATATGTCCCCATCGGATGTGACCTGAATGGACTGAATAATCAGAGTGAATTGCAGAGCCCAAATGTGACGGGGTATAGCAAGGTAAACGCACGGCAGTAGTTGCAAGGCCCATGAAAGGCAAAACTCGTGTGTATTCATAGTTTATTTAATGACTGTCCAGTGATGTCAGACGAAGAGCATAGAAACGGTTATACTAATGCAACTATTGTGCTTGAGGGATAACAACAGGAATAAATTTTGGCTTCCTTTGCCCTGTGTAGTTTCGCTGATTTTCGGCACAAAGAAACACAAAACACAAATGCTACTGGGGTCGGTTCTTTGCCAAATCAACAGGTATAGCCAAGCAAAGATGTTCATAGTCTGTCGAACCCAAATCAGAGTCTAGAAAATCTAACTGGGTCCAGCTTCGAAAGTGATGGACTTCATTCTTCCTGACCAAGTCATTGGTCGGCCTCACCTCTTCTTTCACCCAGCTTATTCCCTTTTACTGAAAAGATAGAGTTTGGGGCCTAATGACGATATGATACTTTGCAACTTACTGCTTACCCAGACGTCACACACCAGTGGTCAGATCTTGCTTGTACTATATATCGGAAGTGGTCGCTCTTTCAGTTCCGAAACCCGTGGCCTACATACTAAAAAGGAAGATGCTCAGATATTCAATACACCCTGGTCACACACACCACCCAGACCAACGGTGACGATCATGACACGTCCCATGGCTTGATATTGACCAGACCAATCACAAGCTCTAGTATTTAACATTACGATTCATTACATCCATATGTCGTGTCCGTTCTAGCACTTTATCCTGATGATGTATCACTGGAACTAAGCTTGTTCCCTACCAATTGCTTGCTCCCGACGTCTACTTCGGGAACAACTTTTCAGCTAAACAATAAATGACAATTCGAGTTTGCTCCGACCTTCTGAGATGAAATATTCCTCCGGTACTTCCTAATATCAGCAGCTTCGATTCATATCTACTTTACTTCCTTAGCCCGTTATCTACTAGTACCCAAAATATAGGAGATCTACATATAGGCCGATATGTGCTGAACCGAAGTAATCACGTAATCCCAGTGTCATAATTAGAGGACATGCTGCATCCACAAATACAGAGAGAGAGAGAGAGAGAGAGAGATACAAACACTGTAAAACATTTCTGTCTTCCGGTGGCCCCAAAGAACACACCTCGTACAAGAAAACAAAATCACAACAAAAGGATTAATCCGAACGATAACGAGCTAAATGTTCCATTGCATTAGCTATGAACCGGAGACAGTGAGGTGATGGGCAGAATTCCGTTCCACACTCCGAACAGCAGCGCGTTGTTCACTGAGTGAAGGAACAACACAGTTCACTGACTATGATATGTGCGCTGGATGTGATCACGGCACTTATCTCATTGTACACATTCGGGTATAAGGGGCACACTACAAGAGCCAACAACACGCAACATCACGTGGGGACGAAGGAACCAAGACCAGACAGTATGCACGAAACGGACACAGGGTGACTTGGTTTCGGTTAAATCAAGCGAACATGATAGCAAGTAGTCGCCTTGCATGGCGACATGACGAACAGAATGAGCGGAGACAATATTACGAAGATGTACGACAGAAAAATATCGGAAATTAGCTCGGACTCGGAAATGTCGAACAGAATGACTAGGAACCAAAAACAAGGGTCCGAATCTGAGGGATTCACTGACTTTGTGATCGGGTTTCCAGCCCCGAACTGTAGCTATCACGAATGAAGGCTAAATGTACGAATTCGACTGAATCACAGATCCAAAGGACTCGAGTTGCAACTAAGATGCCTCGGACGACGGCGCAACGTGGACAAGCAACTGGCGTATGCGTGAAAGGCATGTGAAGCAGTGACCTATATGGGGAACTCACCTGGCTCAATCGACTCAGACCGTTTGAAGACCGCTCGGTGAAAATGGTGCATGGCTGCGGTAATATGGGACGGGCTGCGATGGCCACATCTCCTTCGGCCAACAAGCGTGCACTATCGATGGAGTAGCAATTGGCGACGGCACACACAATCTCTCCGTACTCTCGTAAGATGGCAATCATTTCACGGGTGGCTGAGTGGGGGCGGGGGAGACAAGAACATCTTGAAACTCACGTCGACAACTAATGAGATATGGCTTAGAAGTGGTAGGTATGAGTTGGCTACCCAGTTCAAAGCAACTGAATGGAGATGAAGAACAGGTATTTAAGATGCCATCTTGTGTAAAGCCGGCAATCTACCGCCACTGTTAGAGCATTTCCTCTATTGCATGAAACACGGTTCTGCGCCTGAACACTATATCAGGTTTGTTAAATGCACATGTGATCACAAAAAATAAATCCTTTTGGTCACTGAGTACAGTGTTTACAAGAGTAGTTTTTACACATTGCTTAAACATTTCGGTTCAGTCCAATTACACGACTATGGTCCGAGAAGTGAAGAGCGATGGATTACATTTTTACGATAATCGTCGTCAGAAGAGAAATAAATAAAAACGATAAGAAAATGCGATTGAAAGCAAACAGAATGCAAATAAAATTAAGCAGAGAGGAAGTGCGCAAAACTAATCGGGACGGAAAAGTAGCGGTAGGATATAAGAAATCAAATGCAGGAACGCCACAGGCTGCATGACAGTGACGTATCTGATGGAATTTCCAAGCAATGGTGTGGACCATCCCGAGGACCCATCCACGAAGATGGTAGGCACCAACCTGATCAAAACTCGCCGTCAATTGCGCCGTCCTTTCATGTCATTAAATGGCCATCTGGCGATTTCGCCCAACTAGATGCGGATACAGCAGATCAAACACACAAATTTCGCAAAGTACAGTGAGGCATCCATCCTCTGAACACCGCATGCGGGCAAGCACTAAGTGCCCAAAAAGCAGCCGATGCGCATAGACATCAGTTCGTTTGTACTTTCCAGAGTGCCTCGCCATCTCATATCATTCTCACACGTATCACATCACCACCAGGACTTAGCCACATCTTCTTCATAGCCGAATATGTACTGAAACGACTGATGTCAATACGTGAGTACAGTTCACCTGGTCCGGATAACATACGTCCCAAATCATTGATGGTAGCTGAGACGAGTTTGGCTAAACCATTATCTATTTTTCCAGCTGTCACGGAGAGTTAGCGTTCAGGGCGAGAGCAGCGCCGCAACAGTGGATCGATCCACAATTAGAGAACGCGATTATATAGATCAAAATGCGAATCTATGTGGAATCAACGGCAAATCGGACCATGAAGTTGAACCGTTTGCGTTGTGTTTATTAATATTAACTAGCATCTCCAATTCGTTTGCCTTAGTGGTTTCCTACGACCTATTTATTGCACCATGCTCTCATACAACAGAATCAGAATCCCTCGGTCCCACTGGTCTCTGGCGTTCTCATTTTGTCGCGGGTTGAACTGATTGGGGGCGGTGCAGCTAATTCAGGCAGGTTATCCGCGCAGTCAGCGAAAAGCAACAACAGAGTTCTGGCGACGGTCAGCTGCGCTGTAGCAGCAGGTTAGCCGTACATTCAGCGACAACCACAACACCAGCGCTATCTCAACAAGATGCAAGTTCCAACAATGTGGAAGCGTGAAATCATCATCCCCACTTAAAAGAGAAGCAACCGTGCAGTGCCTGCAAACTACCGCCTCCAATACTCTCCTTCCTATAATTGCTAATGTCATGGAATCTGTCATTGCAGATGCATTTGAGATATTTAGAAAGGTGCCATGTCAACTGGCAGGAACAGCGTGGATTCCACCAAAGCTGTTCATGTACTGCGAATCTCTTGTTAACCCTTGCTAGCTTGACAAAATTCATCGATGCTGGAGAAGGAGTAGACGCCGCTTACCTTGATTTCTCGAAGATATTTTATCACTTTGATCACCGGATTCTTCTTCACAAGATCCGGAGCTATGAGACCGGTGACTCTATCCTGGGCTGGATTCATGCATTTCTATTCCAAAGCCGCCTGAATGTGTGGATTCGCAGCGTCTTATCCCACCTGATATAAGTTCATTGCAGCGTTCCTCAATGCTCGGTACTAGGATCACGACTACTCCTTGTGATCATAAACGACCTCGCGGGAGTGCTGAGGTTGAACGTACTACGCTTTACAGAGGAGTGCAAGATTTTGAAAACAATCAAACGAGTAGACGGCCACATAGCACTGCAAGGTGATCTCGACAGGGCTAACGAGTGGTCGACCCAGAATATATTTATTTATTTATTTATTTATTTAACACGTGCCTAATAAACATTTGGCAGAGTGCCACAACACACGAGTAACAATAACAAAAAGGAGGAAGTAAGAGTCAACTGAATGGATGGAAAGTTTCATGTGCTGTGAGGGCATTGAGCTTCCCGGTTGTCCGGTTGTGTTTAACCTTGTCGATTGAAAAATAATAGGTATACGCCACCAGAGCACCTAAGAATATCGAATGGAGGAACATGATGCTCATTAGAGCTATTTTTGGGCACTCGTGCGGGACGACTGTGGACGCTCAAAGCAGGTCGAGATGGCAGTGAAGAAAGCCATTCAACACTTGGGCCTAGTGCGGAGGGCGTTTAGTCTATTTAATCCTACGCTCAACGCTTACGTGAGCCCTCACATTGAATACGCCCTTCAGGTGTGGCACCGCTGGAGAGAACATGGCCTCACTGCTTTTGAGAAGCCACAACGGAGGATGACATCAAATGTTAATGGCTAGCTTCATCTCCCTAACCAGTTGAGACTAAAGAATCTAGAAATTTTCATCGAACAATGTCATCTACTGCGAGATGTGTCAGACCCTCAAGGTCTCTAACCACCCATGCCGAACCTTATTGAAATCCACCTTACTGAGAGGCTAGCAGTTGTAGTTTGCGAACCAGTATAGCAGGCTGGAATGTCGCCGTAACTTCTTCTCATTTCATGTATCCCAGCAGTGGGACATACTTGCGCATTTTGTCGTATCTGCTCCTACATCGTCCGAATTCAGAACTCAACTTGATGATGCAGTACACCACCTGTATTACATGAGTTAAGCCAAATTACTAGAATGTGCGACAAAGTAACTAGACAATGTGTATACGTGGAATTTGCCGTAAATACACCGCTCCGCGTTCCCTGATACATCAATTTTTCCCACTCGTGACCTACGTATGGCAAACTGTTAAGCGTTGGCTTTGACATCCGTGACAAATTCATTATTTCACTGTACCAAGTTTTGCGATCATAGATCATGATGGCCGAACAAGAGGTTCAATTCGATCAGTACGACGACGGCAGTGAGGAATGGAATTCTAGTGAACTCTATCACATGCAGTATTTGGAGAGATTCAGCTGATTAATATGTGCGAATAGTAACGGTATTCCTTTAAAAATGTAGAGATAGCAAGTACTGCGATGCAAATTGACGCGAAGTTGGATATCGTAGGTCCAGTGAACAGAAAATGGTCTGTAATCTCACACGGGAGAGCATAGGTCCACGTCTGACATGACGTTGAGGCCCATGATTTGCTAATAGACATGTCCATAACTTCAATGCAATAAAAAGGGTAGTAAACTTAAGCCAAACCACTGAATAGAAGTAGCATGAATTCGCTACGCACACCTTAAAGTCGGTCGTTTTAAGTTTATCATCATTGGTAACCAAGCTCTTAGGTGGGGAGGGAGCAGCTTGCATCAGAATGAGGGCATTGGTGTTGCTGGAGTCCATTTAAAACAGCACAACGAGAAAGTGGGTGAAGATAAGGATATAGAATGAAAGCCAGAAAGTTAGCTCAACCCACACTCCGGAACGCAATCCGTGAAGAGGGATACTTGCAATGGAACATTGTCCACGTGGTCCAAGTGAGGTCGAATGTTCTCGATGCCACAAGGAAGACGAGACTGGGAAAACGAACAAGAAGTGATGAAAGGAATGTGCGTGACAGAGAAGCAAGAGGAAGTGCATATAGCATGTAAAAGCAGTGTGGTGAGATGGAGACACGTGGGGAGGGACTTGCGAGTCGGATATGAATGCGATTGCTACCATAATATTGAAGGACATAGTCCGAGGGTGTAAAGTACGGTAGAACTTTCTTGAGCTGAATTCAATATCTGCATGTATATCGCCACTAAAGCAGCTATCAAGAAAAGTGAACTGGTCAATTATCAAGAGTTTCCTATCGTCAAAATTCAAGCACTTATCAAGTGAACCATTTCCGGATCCATCTAAAGTTGGCTGCACCACCGTGAGATTGTTAAACAACAAGACACTGTTGTCCATGTAACTCGGATCAATTGGTTCCAAGACAAAAGGTCAATACCCTCGTGAGGAGATTACGAAACCGCCCATTGCGGAGCGGATGATAAAGATGAACAGATATGGAGGAACGGGACAACTCTGGCAAATGTCAACTGTTATCCAACAGTCCGGTTTCAAGGTAAGATGGCGTTCAGGAGTCTTCACAGACCAGACATACCTAACCAATGCGTACGACGATCGCTATGATGGGGTGCTTGCCAGGAGTGAACTGGTCGACGAACTCGAACGATTGTTCTATAGTTGCTAGTCCGGCAACACTAATATACGATAGGAGGGTGCAAAGCACATGCCGATGAGTGTAGCACTGTGCGCTGGTGCAGCATTTGCGTGTGCTCAAATTAATCTATGCTACCTAAATACGTAGGGTAACTGAGATGTTTTGACTTTGACCCAGAAAATGATGGTGTTTACGATCCACTATTTCGCTTCCTATAACACGTCATGCGAAGATCTCTGACTCGGTTTGTTTCCTGTCCACAGAGAGTTAGAGTGAATATGGGTTGATGATTTGTTAAAACTGGAGAAATGCGAGCACAGGGCTATGGTTAATAATTTTAAACTTAAGAATTAGCGATAGTTGAAATCCACAAAGATACGTTGCATGACAACGCCAGTTCATATGCCGGAGCCAAATACACGGCACGACGATTCAGTCATGTTTAAAAACACGTCGCAGATGAGCCGACGTCAGAGCGACCGTCCATTGACATCACAAGTGAACAAATTGGTGTTTTGGGGACATTATCATGCATGATCGCTGATTGTCAACACGACAAGTAGCAGCCACGTTGGGAGCCTCACAGAAACGAGTAGATAACATGCTTGAGGTTGAATTTGACTGCTCAAAAGTTTTTGCTCGTTGGCCCTCATGTCTTTTGATACTGGATTAGGGGCGCATTGGACGCTACATATCAATGAACAAGTTGGGACTACTGGAAGCCGATATAAACAATTTCTTCTCGACTCATCAATATGGATGGGTGCTGACTCCATCACTATCAGCCTGGAACAACAGAGAAGTCCAAACAATGTAAGCGTGTCACACTTCCGACACTGGAGAACACCAAGATCACACCCACAACTGGAGGGGGTGGCAGCATCGCCGTTTGAGCATGCTCGAGGTGCATGGTGATAATGGGTTTATTTGAAAGACATCATATCATAACCGAAAACCATTACCCTGATCTACTACTACAGCGTCTTGGACAAAATATGGAGCACAAATGTTAATAATACCGACGAAAGGAATTTTATTCCACAATGACGACCCCTATCCCACACATCAGTAATTGCTACGGCAACAATCCACTTTTGTGTTCCAAGGTGTTCCGCATTCGCCATATTCACCATACCTGGCACCCTTCGGCCAGGTCATCACCTGCGTTTCCCAAGTTGAAAAATAGTTTAGGCGGTCGGCGTTACGCTGTGTTAATGATATCATTCATACTGTTGTGGAGTTCATAAAGTCAAGGACTCCTATTAAAGTAGAAATAGCGCAGAAGGAAAATGAACAAACACATTATAGTGAGAAAATGTAACAAATTATAAACGATACCATTGGAACTCCATAAGTAGTTATTTGACGGGTCAGGGCCAAAACTTTTCATTCACCCCACAGTCGATAGGGGGGCAAGTCACCACCATCACACGTTACTCAACGGTGAGAAACGCAGTTCAGTGCCGCAACGTGAATAGACATGTTAAAAGAGTGAGATACTAAATGCAACATAATACAAAAAATAATATTATTATTATTAATATTATAATAAGCCGTAACAGCGCTTCGCTGCCGCGCGACCACCACCAGCAGCGCAAGGGAAGAGTATACCGCGAATCAGTTGCAAACCAGGTGCGCAAACCACTCGGCTAACGGCCGACACAATACGAGGGATGTTCAGGAAAACCGAACTTTTGACACAGCGCGGCAACCGGAAGAGGAAACGCGCTGCGGCTACTGAGCACATGTGATGGCTTGTTTAGACAACAAGCTGTCATTTGTCGCATTTCGCTCTGAATGTTGGTCGGACAGCTACAGTCGTTGAAAGGAGCACTTGCACAAGCGGTTCGTCGGATTAGTGCCAAAGAGACAATGAAAGAGCTTGAAGAACAACGCGTGTGTGTGAAGTTCTGCTGCAGACTTGGCAAAACTTATACGGATATATTTCAATTACTTAGTCAAACATACGGGGAGGACTGTATGAGTCGTATGCAGTGCTATCAGTATGTTAAGTGTTTTGAACACGGCAGAATGTCGGTCGGTGATGATCCCAAGCCTGGACGACTTTCCACATCAACAGACGATGACCATGTCGAGAGTTCGTGCTGTGATCCGTGGAAATCATCGCTGACGAAGTGGGCATCAGCGTAGGATCAAGTTATCAAATTCTAGTGCGTTTTAGGGATGCGGTGCGCAGGAAGAGGCCAGAACAGTGGGAAAACCAGATTGATGCGCCGGTTCATGCAGCGCTCCTTGTCTGCAGCTACCTAGCAAAACATCACATTACCGTTGTCCCCCATCCACGGTATTCTTCGGACCTAGCCCCTGCAGACTTTTCCCTGTTTCTCAAACAAAAGCACGTTGAAATGACGTCTTTCTAACCATACAGGCGATTCAGGACAATGCGACAAGACCCGCGCACAATTCTAGAAAGTACGTTACAGGAGACTTTCTAAAAATGGAAGCACCGTTGGGAACGGTGTATTGTCAGTAGTGGGGACTACTTTGAGGGGGAAAGTGAAATGTGCAATGAGTAATAAAGATAGCACAGTGAAAATTCGGCTTCTTTTAGAACACCCCTCGTACAAAAGCAAAATCAAAAAACGATATCATGCATAGTTTCAAATTACACAGATGAGTAATGGTGGTAGGAGGGCAAAAGACCAGGGAACTCAGGGTACAAACGCCATTGGGGCCTGTTCTTTGCCGTACTAACAAGCGCATCCAACCATCGTCCTTAGCATCCAAGTCAAGCAGTGGGGAGACATTAAGAGAGGCCAAGTTCGAATTAAGGGTTTCAAGTCCTTTTAACCAAGTCGTCACTTGGGCTCCCCTCCCCTTTCACCACCATACCCCCGGTGCGCAAACAACACACGACGCGGCGGGACTCGGTGTACTGGAATGCGCAACACGTGCCCCGGCCATCCGAGCCTGATGCGTGATACAACTCTGCTGAGAGGCTGACTCGCTCTTCCTACATCAAGTAAACGACGTCGAACACGCTCATTGCTCACGCGATGTTCCCACCAGACATGAGCTAAGCTGCGAAGGCAGCGATGGTCGAACGTAACAAGCATCTTTATATCTGTCCATCTGATGGGCCAGGTTTCACAACTGTACGGGAGTGTTGAACGGATGGTTGCATTGTAAACTCTGCTCTTCAGGGCGAGAGTGATGTCGCGCTGGCGTCATAGATAGTGGTGATTGGAAAAACGCCACGAATTTTCGCTGTAGGTTTCGTGATCTTATCTTTTATTCTAGGAGCGTTAAAATAGCTGGCTAGCCAGTTGAATTGCTGCACTACCACTAAGAGTCAGCTCAGAAGTACGTCTCTCCCAATCATAGAGAGGCACTTTGAATTTGGAAGGTGCAAAGCATAGCCTAAAACGACTGACAACCAGTGCTAATCTGTCCAGTGCAGTTTAGCACGTTTGGGAGCAGCAACAGATAGGGGCAACATCGATAGCGTAATTCAAGTAAAGAAGTCGATCACCGGGAAGCAGCACCACGCCTTCAAAGTTGTGTCCCGTGAATGCTACCTCCATGATTTCGTCAATGGCGAAATTAAAAAGTAAAGGTGACAGCCATTAACTTTGTCGCACACCGGTGGAAACATAGAAAAGCGGCAATATGTTGCCATAATCCCTCATTCTGTTGGAACGAAGCGCGTAAATTGTGATGGCAACTGAAACAAATGTGGAGTGGAAACGCTGTGATACCGGTAGGCAGATGGCCAATCGAACGCTATGCGGCATTTCGCGGAGTACCGAACAGATGCAACTTAGCCGGAAAGAAAGTGAGCATGTCATCGGAAGAGGATTGGTCAGCAGAGCAGTGAATGGTCTGCGCGCGCCCATATCGAGCTCTGTGAGGACAGCCAGTAAACCGGAAAAACAGCCACTGCGCGTGCAGGTGACCAATTAGGCGTCAGTAGGTCCCAATTCAATCTTGCGAAAGAGCGTGTAAGCGCGAGAGGCGGATGGGTTTGCCGGGCCACGAATAGATGGTACGCACCGGAGTCAAGGTTTGCTGTGGCACCTTGACAAGGGAGAGAGCGTGTGACGATATGGATAAATGACCAACCGAGCCAGCCGTACAACCCACCCAGAAAGTCAGAAAAGCGGGTCGAGGTAATTTTAGGCAGGATGAACGTAATGAACAAGTGTAAACCAATGGAAATAGAGCCAGCGACATAAGGCAAATAACGAGGGTGAGCCAGTAGAGAGGACTCTCACAAATAGTGTATTTACTCTATAAATAACCATGCGTAATCTTAATAAATAACTTCGTGATCGCAGCCCAGTCTTGGTGATTTACGGAAAGCTAATCGACATAAATCAGTCTTGTAATAATAGCATATATATCGGGTACATTTTTCCCGAGCAACCAGTATAAAAGAGCACATTAATCTACCTAATCAAAGGTGCCCAAGATACCTCTCCCCAAGAGATGCGTGAAATGGCCCTCAGCCAGTAATGATGCAGACGCCAGAACGTTGAAATCCATGGCGTCGTGTTCATCGCTCAATTAGACTATATGTGTTATGTACGTACGCCCGACAAAAAGCGATTATGGAACAGACTGGTCGTGAGAATCTCGGAATGGTCAGACTAGTTGAGAACTAAAACACGATAGTAGTGAATAGTTAGGGGATTTATTTTGTTTTTGAGAAAATTCGTCGCAGTTAGACACGGTCAGACAGCCACCAAATAAGCAGGAAAGCGCTAGACCGACGTGGTAAAGGTCACTGACTCGTAGAAGTAAGATCATGGGTTGGAATCTAGTAGGATTCAGCGGGTGCGCGGTATTGACTACTCTCAATAGGACGAAACGGCGGTCCAGCGCTTTCCTGGATGTGTCAAACTGTGACGAATCTTCTCAAAAACAGATCACAGTAATTCTCTCAGTAAGCGTTATATCTCGTCTTCAATACAGTCGTTTGGAGTGGTCTCATAAGAGCGCACATGCAAAAGAGCTGAGGTAAAAAATGTACGGGAATATTAAGAAAGACTCACCTTGTTATCGGTCACATAATCAGAAAGTCTAAGCCCCGAATCTTGGGCGCTGCGGGTTACACTGCTACTCGAATCGCTACTGCTACTACTGCTGAAGGCGACGGGGGCCGCAGTGGCACAGGAAGCGTTTGCAGGTGCAGAAATGGAAGGAGAACGAGAGGATCTCGAGATGTCCGATCCGTTAACTTTGACGCTGGGATTGTGGATATAAAGGCTCTCAGTGCCAACCATGTTGTTATTTGACAGGGAACCGATTCCAGCGAAAGAATCTTGGGATATTCGGTCAGTATTTGTATCGTGCGCGTTAAGGGAGGGCAAATCAGATATGCCGCGCGAGTTGTGAACTCGTTCCGCAGTGACATGAGGAGCATGGGGCATGGGGAATGATGCTGATCGATTTAAGTGGGCCTAAAAAACGAAGGAACGGAGAATCATGACAGCTGATCCAATGCACACAAATACACATAAAGGGTAGAAAAGGTAACCAGAAACGCGGTCACTTACATATTTGTCTCCGCACGGGAAGTCGCGCGCAGGCCTTGTTGAGTCTACAAAAAAACAACGAGGGAGAAAGAAAGAGTTGTACCCATTGTGAAAATTATCGCAAAGCTGGATATAAGCACATCCAAAAACCAAGAGAAAAAGATGGATACGTCAGCAAAACGAGATAAGAAGCGAAAAATACCGGTGAGAGTGGGGGAACCAAGCTCCAGAGGCCAGCTATGGCCATATGTGACACCATGGAAGGGCGTAACAGATTTCTACAAACTGATAAATGAAGGATTAAAACCCCTCGAAAGGACCAATTATTTCAACAACAAATAGGATTTGAATCAATTGTGCTCAGACGAAGCACCAAGCAGTTTCGAGTCATTAAAGCCCGAGAAGCGACGTAGGTAATAGCAATTTGTCATTGATCGGATTCGTTCTAAACTACAATTATTGGTAGTCAATTCGTATGCGGATTTTGATCTGTTCCCCGAGCTGAATGATTATTGTGCAGACGTTTTGTTGCTTGACTAGGCAACATCATCAGTGCGGCTTCAGGGGCCTGGTTCGCAGTGCCTCGTAAGCGACTTCAATGTCCAAGTGCTTGTTGATCGAGTTCTGTTTTGAATGCCAGGCTTCAATGAACTCACGTGCTTGCCGGCTTTTAGCCCTTCCGAGGATACTGGCATGCTCTAGGTCGAACTGATGGTTCTCGGCATCCATATGCACTGACATCAGGGAGTTCTGATCGTGGCGACGAATGGCTAGGCTGTGTTCGTGTAGCCTTGTGCCAAGCTTTCTTTCAGTGTGTCCCACGTAGTATTTGTCGCAGTTCCGGCAGCAGATCTTATAAATCACACCAGTTTCTTCCTCGTTGCTAAGTTTATCTTTCACTTGGAAGAGTTTATTGCGAATTGTTTCCGTTGGCTGGTATGCAACTTTGACTCCAAAAGGGAATAAAAGCCTCGCTGCCATTTCAGAGATTCCGTTGATATAGGGCAGTGTTGTTCTCTTTTCAGCTGTTGCATTTGTCGAGGTGTGTCGAGCAACCTTTTGTGGTGCGAGGCAGCGTAGAATGAAGCCTTTTGGGTACGAGTTCCGCTTGAGCAGATTGAAGAGATGGTCTTCTTCTGCCCGTCTCAGCTGCGGTGTGCCACAATGGGTTTGTGCTCATTTGAAATGGGTTCGCACGCATCTGCGTTTATGGGCTGCCGGGTGATTGTTGCAGTAGTTAAAGATCTGGTCCGTTTGCGTAGATTTTCGGTAGACTGTTATTTTCAATCCTTCAGCACCAGTCTGTCATATGAGAACGTCTAAGAATGGTAACTGCGCGTTAATCTCCTCCTCTCTGATGAATTGGATGTGACCGAACACGTGGTTGATTAGTTCGTGTGTTTCCTCCAATTTGGAACGTTTGAGGATGAAGGTGTCGTCTACGTATTGTATTCAAAGTTTGGTCTCGCGATTAGAAGTACTATTTGTTCCGGCGCCTGCATCACTGTCTCGGCTACCAGACCAGAGATCGGCGATCCCATTGATGTGCCTCTTATCTATTCGTAAATTTGGCCATTGAAAGTGGTATGTGTTGTTAGACAGAATTCAAATCTGCTCAAGCGGAACTCGTACCCAAATGGCTTCATTCTACGCTGCCTCGCACCACAGAAGGCTGCTCAACACACCTCGACAAATGCAACAACTGAAAAGAGAGCAACTCCGCCCTATATCAACGGAATCGCTGAAATGGCAGCGAGGCTTTTGTTACCTTTTGGAGTCAAAGCTGCACAACAGCCAACGGAAACAATTCGCAGTAAACTCTTCAAAGTGAAAGCTAAACTTAGCAACGAGGAAGAAACTGGTGTGATTTATATGATCTGCTACCGGAACTGCGACAACTACTAGTGGGACGGACTGGAAGAAAGCTTGGCACAAAGCTACACGAACACAGCCTAGCCATTCGTCGCCACGATCAGAACTCCCTGATGTCAGTGCATATGGTTGCCGAGCACCGTCAATTCGACCTAGAGCATACGGGTATCCTCGGAAGGGCTAACAGCCGGCAAGCACGTGAGTTCATTGAGGTCTGGCATTCAAAACAGTACTCGATCAACATGCACTTGGACATTGAAGTCGCTTACGAGGCACTGCGAACCAGGCCCCTGAAGCCGCACTGATGATGTTGCCTAGTCAAGCAACAAAACGTCTGCACAATAATCATTCAGCTCGGAGAACAGCTCAAAATCCACATCCACACCCCGAGCTACGGATATTCTCATTTATTTCAAGTCAACTTGTCTGCTCGAAAGTGCCGACCATATTTGGACTGAGCGCTAGTTTTCTGTCTACTCGTACCGCGTTTGTAGCTGATCTTGCCAGGCGCCTTTTAGTTAAGGCTATCCGCTGCTTTTGGCTAGAGTTGAGAACGCGAGCGTTTCAACCACAGGGAGATCCACCAAGCGTTACTCTAGAAGTTCAGCTTTGGCAATGTTTGGATCCAGTGAACAGAAATAACCAGGAAGGAATATGGACCGATGAACACGACGGACCACACAGAACCACGGGCGTAAACCAATGTTGCTTAGGTGAAAAGCATTACTAGGTACCCAGGAGGGGATGTAACAACCTACGAATCACTAGATAGAAGCCCAACAGCTGTATATGCAGTGAGAAGTGATTGTAGCGTTCTAAGTGATTGTGCTGCTAAAAACAGCGGAATTGCTCACCCACAGCTTGTCAGACGGCTTTTCACGAACTCGTAGAGTGGTATTCAGAGCTCCGGCTTCAGTAGCAGTCAATCAGACAATGAACACAGACTGTTCAGTCTTCGCATTGATCAGCGCTTGTTTCTTTAGAGTACCAGTTTTCGGCACTCGAGACATACTGCTACCAGGCGCCCGCGTTCGCGAAAGCAAGAGTAGTCCGACGTAGCGGTAAGTGATGGTGCGAAAGCGTAACAGATTACCGATCACGCATTGATTCGTGATAAGGTTAGCATGCGCTTCTGAGGATGGCCCAGGAATGCACATAACTGATCAATAAAATCTACAAAATTGTAGGCTGGTAGCTCAGGTTGTTCAGATGGCGGTTGAACGGTTCGCCTCGCTTAGAGGCTCCTCTACGCTACGCTACTGCACGCCACTCAACTACTCACTGATGATGTCACCTCGATTGATGACTAAACGTTCGCAACAGCTGCCAAGCTCAGCGAACCGTTCAACCGCCAGCAAAATATACAAAGTCCAACGACGTTAGCCAAGTACAAGGCCTTATTGTAGACATTGCTTGGCTCAGCTATTGAATATGAACTTAATTCACAATGGGCGCGCATCAATTATGCCTTAGTTTGTGCAAGTATCGATGTTGCTCGTCGTCCGCCGGAGAACCGGGTCCGCGCTGTAACCTTGTCGCTCATGTACTGCTCGCTCGATCCCCGCTGACGTCAGTCATGGTGAAGAAGGCCGATCACTAGGTCGAGAATTTCACAAGAATCTACAAATGAACCGTGAAACCTAGTGGTGAACGTGCTAAAGGAAAAGAACTTACTCGTCCCTAAGGTAATACCAGAAAACTTTACATCTCATCCGAGTTACCGAAGGTGTCCCATCCGGCGTAAGCGAAGCAATGTGCGAAGAGGACGGAACGATGGGCTGAACATTTTGGCTCGCAGTTTTGCTGGCCGCCAGCTCCATTTGCATCCTCCGGAATGCGCAGTGGCGCTGAGTGTATCCACACAGACCACCAGGAAATCTGACAGGAACTCTGCCTACTGAATGCTTATAAAACACCTGATCCTCATCGTCTATCGACCTATTTAGAGATAACGGCTATTCCATGGTTGCAGGACCCGACGCTCTGTTCTCAAAAGAGGTTCCATAGAATTGGGTTAAATCGATAGCCATCCCATCGTCAAAAAATGCCTGTGTATATTGTGACCCAAGTGTAGGCGTAGATGTTTAGTTCCCATCGTTCGCAAGTTCTGGGTGTCCATCATACATCGCAGACTATCCCCAACGCGCGAATCCCGATAGCGGTAAGAACAGGCTAGGTTGCGTTATAAGTATGGTTGCAACGACGGAATTTTCACAATCCGTCAAGAGTACCAAAAAAACGATTGTAGCGTGCATGGACACCCGTGTTGTCTTCGATGCTGTCGACAGGACTGCATTGTGGTACGGTCGGTTCAGGAATGGAATCCCCGAGAAGTTAGTTTCCGTAATGCGCAGAGGACCGAAGGATGCGCACCACTGATGAGCCCCAATAGGGCGAAACGGCCGTCTGGTGCTTTTCCGGACAGCTGCTCGACATATCTGAATTGTCGGCTGATTGCGACGAACAAAAATGCGTGATTTGTACAGTCTGAATCCGGGAAACTCAGGACTTATGACAAGCTATCGTCTTCCTTTGTTGTCATCAGTGGGGTTCGAAAAGGATGCCCTAGCTCCCTATCCCTCTTCAGTTTTGTCATTGGGAATGTCCCTAAAAATGCTCCGGAAGACTTGTTGAACGCTGGCGTTGAGCTCCTCCAAGATAGTCGAGCTGTTGATTTGGGCTAAAATGATGTGTTGTCGTATTGTTGAATGACAGTCCACAGACCATCCAACTTGAACTTAACTGCTTAACGATTGAAGCATCAAAGTATGGCATGCAATTTTCCCCATACAAGTAGAAAGCGCTTTTCCTAGACTGGCAAATGCTTGGAATTGCAATCACTTTTGGTGGCGAGACATTGGAGGTTGTGGGGTTTTGTCTATCTAGGAAGCTGCATCACTGCTGGTGGGGCTGGTGGAGATGAGATTTAAATACATAACTCAAGAGCTCATCACGCTTTCTGCGGGCTGAGGCACTTGTACCACCATGGCATCTGTCTCTCCATCAAAGGACGGATTTATTGTGCGACCTTCCGTGCTGTGCTGTTGTATGGTTGCGAGACCTGGCCTGTTCGTACCGTTGACTTGCGCCGACTGTCAGTCGGGCGGCTCATTGCCCGGTTGTGGTGGCTGAGTCGAGTAATGTTAATAAGCAAGTTAGACAGAGCGTCTTGGGAGGAGAAACCCGTTGGCTCGAAAAGCTCATCTCACTGCATCAGTTGCGATGGCCTGGACACGTATTGCGCATACTCGTTCGGCATTTTCCGCGCCGTGCGTTGTTTGTTGTGCTGGACGAAGCTGAAGAAGGTGGCAAGATGGACAGTCTACAACTTGGAGAGGCCGCGTGAAAAAGCTGACAAAACAGTTGGACTATCTCGGTTGTTCTCGACTCCATGGTTAACGAGCCAGAGATGCAGAGTGTAGCTGGTTGGAGACCCTAGAAATCATGACCAAAACCGAAGTCAGTGGCAGATGAGCATCACAGTGTGTTGTGGCGATCGTCATTCGCTTCCGTTAGTAAACAAACTAATAAAAAAACCAAACAATGTGGGTGGGGAAATCAGGCGAAAATTTTCCATTTGCTGTTCTCATTCCAATTCTGTTTTCTTATTCAACAGATGGCCGGTTTCAAGCTCAATGACAGTTAGTCTGGAGAGGTAATAACGTTGCTGAAAGAGCTTTATGTCTAGATCGAATGTGGTCTCATTTGCTTTGTAGTTTTGTGGGATACGGAGGAAAACTAATACAAAGTCTTCGACTCGACTAACTGAATGGGACCCGGAGACCGTTGGGAAGACCAAGTGATAGGGACAAAAAAGGATAGATGAACCTGAGGCCGGTTTCTATATGTGACAGAACACGTCAGAGGAACAAGTGAAATCACCAAACGAGGAGGAAAGCGGTGGTGTTGCAACGAAAAGCGTAATACCTTGTTGTCCCAGATGCGCTTCTGTGCTCGATAAACGGGCGTCGTCCTCGGAAGAAGGGACGCATTTACGTGACTTGTCTCGATGGCTCTCTGAAGCAGGAGTAGCCAATGAAATGTGACAATTCCATCCACATTCCAGTCCAAGACGTTCGGCGAACACTCTGCTGCGTAATTCATTTTCCTGTGAAGGGAAATGGACAACAGCGAGGCCATTGACACCGCCTGATATCAAAAGCGACTAGGTGTGCTAAAACCGGAAAACTTGGTAGTAAACAGATTGAATGAAACACGAACACAAACCATCACAAATCTGAGGATGAAGTCCAGGGGTTGATAAAACGTTGGAGAGGAGAGGCCAGAGAAAGAAGGAGTGACAGAATTGATGGCACAATAAAAGTAATGTAATACTCAGCAGAGAGACGCAAGTGTCTAGTATGTAAACGTACTCGTGAGAAGTAGACGAAGCGAACGCATGCTTGGTCCAAGCGTCGGATGGAATCCACTACGCTGTAGTTGACAGGATACTGTAGACTGACAAGACCGAGGAAGATGTGGCCACGAAAAAGTGGCTTCAAATCGGTCGGATCAGAAGTGTGCTCTGAGCTGAAAAGAAGAGGAAATGGACTGGTGGGAGCGTATAGGTACCGTAAGAAAAATGGCTTTGATCGTAGTAAACAACACAAGGATCGAATGCGAGTCGAGCTTAAACTCGTCTCCTGTTCGTCAGTTCCCGAGGTAGTGCAGTCGAGGTATACCAAGCGCCAAAACGCAGACAGAGAAAAACGGTTTGAAGAAGTACGATCGCTTGACACGTTGAGAAGCAAAAACGGAAACGACTAGAGTAGTTTGAGTACGGAGAGCGGATGAAACAGTTTCGTGTGGCTACCGGTAAGTAGCAGCGCCGCGCTTTTACCTTATTAAACAGGATGATTGATGGGGAATTTACTTTATCCGCCGCAAGAAGAACGTTTTGAGCACCGGGATTACCGCTGTGACCTTGAATGGGTGCTCGACAATCGATTGAGCGAATGAGATCATCAAAGGGTATTACGAATTGTCCCCGATGGAACCGGTTGAGAAGCAGTATCAGAGATGACCTGTTGATGGCGGTTTGGATTGTATTGGGTCAGATAATGTGATGCAGAAAACCGAACCAATCGTTTGGCACCAACTACTTAGCATGGTCAATATGTGACCAACCCGCCAATGACAACGCATGACGGGTAAGCATGCAACTGAGTGGTTTCGAAATCCCGACGCCGACTAGAATGTTCTGAAGGCGTTGATCAGTAGCTTCAGCTCGGATGCTCTGTTAATGTAGGCATGGTGTCGTTGAAAAAACCAACGGAAATTAAAGGTTTGTATCGCGGAAACTGATGTGTGTCCTAGATCACCACAGAGGGAGTTTAAAAGACGAGGACAACTTTGGAATGTGAGTCGAAGCCTAATCCCAATCCATCGATCGCACCGTAGCATTGTATACCTGTTTCGTCACGTCGGTGCCAGAGCCCTAAGAATGTTCAAAGAGACCTAGTCCGATACGCCATCAACGCTACCGCAGCTCCAAAGGTAAAAGAGCCAACTGGCCACTTCCAGGGGACAGCTCGTATTTGTGAGAGCAGGAGGAGCCCCAGTCCAGTTCTGCAGGAACACGTTACAAAATGAGGTAGCGAAGGTCATTCCGAACAGGAAGGCAAGCACTTCCAATCTACGCAGTGTATTCTGGGTAACCTGCGATAAAGTACGAACTATAGCGAAGGAGGCAGCTCAATGCCGCCGTAATCGAAGTTGCCCACGGTACACTACAGGATGCTATCCATAGAAAAGTTGTGTAGAAAAGTTGATACAGGGCAACCTTGTCTCACGCTACTGATGAAAAGGAATACTGGAGAGAGATGGATATACATTCACATGCGGTAAAGTGTTTGGGAACGAATAACTTGGGATATGGTAACATACTTGTTGAGCACTTTTCCGTAAGGCAATTCCAGAGACGATATCTGTCAGATGAGTCCGACGCCGATCATGTGCTTAAGATGACAACGATTGTTGGCCGACTAAACATTTGACGAATCACAAATATTTGGTGAAAAAGCCGCTCGACACCATCCAAATTGAAAGCGTACTATGTAGGCAAGTGACATACACAAAGATGGTAGAGTACATACACTGCAGAGTGAGCGGATGTCGAACGAGACCAGTGATAGAGCAGTCATGGAGAATAAAAAAACCTATTGCGATAGATTAGGCAACTAACAGAAGTTTACACCAAAATAAATTGCGGTCCAAACCGAGGTTAAAAGCTGCAACCCACACACATACATGACGGGTAATCCAATCGAGCAAAAACAATCATTAGCTGGTGTGACAACTGATGCTCGGAGATATAGTAGTGGGAAAACCATAGCGGTAATCATTGAATTCAAGGTCCGGGTTTCAGATTAGCTAATCCTATTAGAAAAGTCCGAAAAAGAGTGCGGACAAAATCCTATGTTTAGCTATTTCAAAACGATCCCGGTAACCGAACTGGACGACAGTTATTTCGAACATAAACACAATGAAAATTGGGGGTGTGACACAATATACACAGAAAACAGGTATACATAAAACAATCATTATACTATATTCAGTCATCACTAGATGGCTAGCTACGGTATGTCCAAATTCGATCGATATTCCTGAAGTGGTACTCCGGCAAACATCAATTACATTAATCGGTTTTGTATTCGATCAAACAGCCGCTTGGCGGCCCACTTCCATATGATCCATCGATCGAGCTAGAACAGTACGAGCGATTTGTCCCCAGATGACACCAACAAAGACGACGTCCTCATCTGTGACAGCTCTCGAACGTGCTAAATGACACTGTACAAATTAGCCTTGGCTGTCAGTCGTTTCGGGCTATGGTTTGCATCATCGAAATGCAAAGTTCTTCTCCGGGATTGACAGGGACCCACCCATGCATTGACCCTTGGTGGTGATCAGCTAGAAATCGTTCAAGACAGTTATATCAGCGCCAGCAGAATTGAAGATAAGATCAAAAACCGCATAGCAAAAGCTCGAGGTACTTTCGTCAATCTCCGCCACCTGTGGCGTCGGCGAGCCATCACTCTTGTTTTGAAGGACAGAGTTTATAATGAAGCCGTCCGTTCAACCCTCCTGTACAATTGCGGGACCTGGCCCATTGGATCAGCCGATATAAAGAGGCCAGTTACATTCGACCATTGCTGCCTTCACAGAATAGCTCTTGTCTGTCTGATGGGAACACTACACGTGCAATGAGCGTGTTCGGCGTCGCGTATTTGCTACAGGAAGATCGATTGAATCGCCCAGAACAATTATATCATGTATCAGGCTAGGCCACGTGTTGCGCATGCCAGCACACCAACTCCCACATCGTGGGTTGTTTGGGCGCCCTGGTTCTGGATGGAAGAATTATAGAAGAGGTCAATCGATGACTTGGTCAAAAGGAACGAAGTCCCTCAATTTGAAGTTGGCGTCGGTTGATGTATCCCGACTGCCGGGCTGGTTACCTAAGCACGATGAACACGTTTGGTGGGATACACTATCTGACATGGCGAAGAGCCGACCTCAGTGGTGTTTGTGTTGTGAGTCTCTTCGTCCCTCCCTTCCCCTATAGCTCACACCCATCAACTACGATGTTAAACCCAATGCACAATGTGATATTTTTTGGACTGTATTGTTTAATCCCTTGTCCATTTGTATTGCAGCTGAGGTGTGTCTCTAAGCATCAGCTAAAGTGTATTGATGATGATGATGACACCAAGGAGAGTTGGTCACAGGCGTCGCAACGATTAGTGGGCCGGAGTCCATGTGGATTGTAGCAGTACAGCGATTCGTCAAGCCAAGTCACAGTAAGCGACATATTGGGGAGTTACTCGAATCACATAGTGGAAAAGTGCAGTCTGAGGAAAGATAAAGTTTCACGGTGTTCTATTTCTGGGCCAAGCACGACATGTTCACACTGATAAAACACGGGCAAATAATTGAGAGTTTACCGACAATCTTTGATCGTTTTGGGTAAACGGGACAGCTGAACTCGAATTGTTGATGGATAAGCTGCAGTGTCAATGCATAGCAACCTGAAATCCTTTAAATCCCGTTGTCGAATCGACGAAGCTCACTATGACGTCGGAATGACTTAACGCTACGCACCTGCTTCCTTCGTAGGAGTGGAACATCCGTTGTGCAGTGTATCGCGGCCTGACTTGCAACCTCCTCGCCACGGAGTCGAGTTCCGGACTAAACGGTGGTGGAAAATATGGGGTATCTGCCTTGTAATCCAAAGGACACTGGTTCGAATCTGCATAGGTCGAGACAGTCTAGCAATAACCTTAGCCACTGCACGACCGGTAGTGATTGTGTGACAACGAACCGTCGGTACAATGTGTCCATGTAACGTTGGTGCCCTTCGTCCCTTCTTTCTGCATAGCGGTTAGCATGAAGGATAAATGGGTTCAAAAATGAGCTATAAAGCACTGATCAATGTGTTTCTTCACAGTGCAAGACTTAAGACTCTATCACTGCGGAGTTTCAGCGATACCGATGCACCTGACCGGAGGTAAAAGTGAATTGAAAGTAAATAAAATAAAATCCATGTTAGAAGTCACGCGCAGATACCATCCTACCAGCTTATAACGAATAGCCTTCCAATTGTGAGTTACTAAGGTACTATGGGCGATCTCGTTGTAATTTGCCTATGGCATTCCGTACACAAATGTTGATACAGAAGGTCGCCAAACAAAGCGCTGGTATGTTCGAACGGAAGCCGGAAGAGATAACATCACACAAACTATTTTTCCAGCTAACCTGGTGCCGTTGGTTTGAGATGCGTCCTTGGGGCGGGGCTCCACGGGCACATCATTCGGGGGCTGTGTTTTTGCGTGGTGAAATCCACCGCTAGATCGAAACGAGACTGCCCAACGGTGAGGAGTAAGTCGCCCTGGTACTCCGGGACAAGGGAATGACAAGCGTTTCGCAGCATTCCCACACAGGGTCAAGTGCACAGAAGAGGGATCATCACTGTCTGATGCAATTGGATGTTTAAGCAGCAAAGGTGGCGAAATTGCTTCTGGTGATCTGGTAGCCGAATCTATGGGAAGTTGAATGCTTGCAGGTCTTGTGCAGTTGCCTTGCGATAGGGGGGCATGTAGCTCCACTGAGGGACTGTTATCAGTTGGAGAGGTATCATCTTCCTAAACATGAAGAAAGTCTGAATAAATGAACTACATACCTGTGGAAGCCGTAGGAGTACAGTGTCACAAATCGACTGACTTTCCACATCGTTCGGATGCAGTTCGGTGTAAGGTGCAAGCAATGGCCGAGTTAAAAGTGGGACGTAGGAGAAACCCATACAAAACGCTGCAGATGCATTGCGATTATAGAAGTCCAACAATGCACAGCGTTCGGCATTCTGCATGGGACAGACGTCACGTCCGTCCCACAGATCGGAACATAACGAAACTAACATGTTGCCTGAGCCTTGGGACATTAACTGATAACTGCCGGTGGAGGAAGGGACGTGATGGATGGTCGCAAAGCAGCTGTTCAACGTGTGTGTCTGCAAGGCAATGTGAAGAGAGGAAGGATGTTCACTGAAAGACAATACATTGAACACTGAAAAGGCCAATGCACACAAATACGTAACAGTGTAAACATGCACGACGCAGTCTATGTGCTTTACCTGTAGGAAATTTGGCCATTACGGCCACATGCACACACAAAGCGCCAATGAGAGTTGGTAAAACCATTGAACGATTAATACAAGTCCCCAATGAGACTGTATTTATGTAAAGCTCTAGAATGACCACTGAGGTAAGACAATAGCGTAACAAGCGGACCCATGTACTACTGGTTCGGCATAACATTTGAAATGTAGTTTTCGCGAATTAGAAGTACGTGCCGCTGGAATATGTAAATCAATGTGTGTGCACGTGAAAGGTGACTATTTATGCTACCTAACAGAGAACCTGGTCAATATATAACCCTGATTCGTGACATGGATGTAATACGCCGGAAAGGAGGAATAAAGAAGACGAAGTTTCAACGGAGCTGTCATACGAATATGTTTACAAATAACTCCCTCCTTTAAGACTTCCGGAATGAAAGCTCTACAAGAGGATTGATGGATAAACCTTGATTTTGCAGGCAAAACTAAACGGAATAATACGTTGCGTTACACGTCAAGATGTGTTATGCACTCCCAAAGTACAAATTATTGATGCATGACTGGACCGATGGCCCACTGGTTCTAACTGACACCGTACAGCCACTAAACGAGATGGATGATTTCCCTTACCGTTGTAGCTGTCACCTCTGGTTGTCACATAACTACGACGGTTAATTCGCGCATCAGCCAGACCTGAGTGGTTTTCCAGAGGCTCAATTACCTATGGAGACGGTGAGATATCAGTTTGTCAGTGAAAGGAATGGGTTATAACGCTGCGACTAGGTCGGCGTTACAGTAGAGGAAGAAAACCTTGTCAGCTCGCAGCGAATATAGTAAAGGCTTGACAGCACTTGACCACCGGTGCTTGCGGAGTATTTGTTAGGGAAACAAAGCAAACGAGCCTGTGATGATCGATCGTCGCCTATTGGAAATGGAACGAAATCAGGGATTCAGCGCAGCCCTACGTAGGGTCACCAGTTAAGTTCAACTTAAGACTTGAACCCGGTTGGAGTTCCATTGATTTGTATCAGTTGGCATCTCCTATAATGTTGACTAGCTCCAATGTGTTTGGTAGCTTTGCTTCGACCCTAGTTGAGTCTCAGTATTCCCCATGCATACGAATCTGTTCTTTCTCAGATCCTCTTCCCGTTCTCATCTGTGGTCGTGGGTTTTGAGCAGTTGCGTGGGGTTTGGGCAGCAGTTCCGCGGCGACACATCATGTTTGGCGACGTAGTTTCCTACTGGCAATGGCAAGTTCTGCTAAAGGTCTGAAGTCTATTTTCACACAGCAGCAACAACAATTTGAGGCATCTCAGCTGCGATTGATCGAGACTCTTACTTGACAAGTGACTGTCTAATCTGGCCCAACGCAAAGCACATCCCGACTTTCCGTTGATGTAGTACTCAGCAGTGTCACAGAATTTACTTTGGATTCCGAATTTGGATTGATTTTCGACGCGTGGTTCATGGGTTATGGGGATATGTTCAAAGCGGAACTGGCAAGCCTAAACGATGCGTCAAAATTTCGGCTGCTGCTGAGGAAGCTCGGAGCTATGGAACACGACAGGTTTGCCGATAGACGCACATGACTACAATTTCGAAGAAACAGGTGCCCGCCTCACTGAAATATTCGGCGATAAGTCCTCATTATTCATTAATCGGTACAAATGTGTTAAGCAATGCAAGATAGACGCTGAGTCTCATTTATCATGAGGCAATCGTAAAGCGACAGTGCTAAAAGTTCAAGCTGAAATCTCTCACAGGGGAGCAGTTTGAATGTTTGATTTTGACATGCAGCTTACAATCTCCAAAGAACGTCGAGATAAGAACCAAAATGCTGAGACAACAGGAGCGCTATCAAGACGTCACACTGCAGACCGTTAAGGCAGACGCTCAAAGAATCATTAGAAACACGATGCAGTAATGATAGAGGATTCCAAGGCGAACTTTGGTGACACCATGGTTCAGGCAATCACTAAGCCCACATCCGCTGAACACATGAAACACTTACAAGGTAACCCCCGTCGACCTGCTGGCGCTGCGGCAAGTGATACTTTGTTCGACAGTGTCCTTTCAACAGGCACGTGTGTCAAAAGGGTCTCGAAGGGGGACACAAAGAAAGCCATTGCAGGCCCAGGCAGTCGATCAGGCAAACATCACATATCCGACAGAAAGTACACCAACCCTTTTCCAGGAGAATGAACGCCAAGTTCACTGATAACAGCAAAGATCGATGGAAGTTTGTAAGCATTCTCATCAACGGAAAGTTGGTTGGCTTGCAGATTGGCACAGCCCCATACATTACGGTGATATCAGTAAACCTGTGGAAGACGGTCGGATCACCAGTCATCAACCCGACAGTGCAGCGCATCAGAAGTGCTTCGGGTTACGAGCTGTCTTTGCTGGGTCAAGTGAGCCTCCTTCGAAAAATCGGACTATGACGGAGCGACCCCAGTCGGTTGGGACAGTTTCATGCTCCTACAGTTTCACGAGTAACATGTAAATCAACCAAAAGAGCAGATCCTCCGAATTCGAAGTGGACTAGACGAAGATAAGCTGGTAACGAAGCTTTATTCAACTTCAGCATTCCGATCTCACGTTCGAATTCTGAGTGAGAGGGTGAATCTAAATGGAAAGCGCAGGGGGCAGAGCGATCAGTGACCGGCGAGTCGACACCGTGTTGTCCACCATTAGTGGACAATTTTCCAACTTCAGCGTTCAGATCCCCAGCCACCGCTACAGCACGCTTGCCTCTTCTGTGGCGAAGGAGCTCGTTCAGTTGGAGGTAGAAGTCGTCTTTCACCGAAAGTGTCTACAATGTTGGGGCAAGTGCTGCCTTTTGACCGAGCTGTAGCAATGTGCGTACGTTGAGGCATGCCAATCTGAAGGAGGATCGAGGGCTCCAACTATAAGTCAATGAACTGGGCTTGGCCGCTTAGTTGGACATGGGCTTGTTGACAGGACAGTAATGAGGCTCCGCGTTTGCATGTGAGTTGAAACTAGAAGCTAAACGCCTATCAAAGTATGGTTGGGGAGGGCAAAAATCGGGGCTGAAAACGGATAAAATTGAAGTTGGAACGGGACGATAAGGGTGAAAAAGCACAAGAGAGGGAATAAGAAGACGGGAAGGCTTGAGCAGTAGCATCCAAACCCCTAACCACCCCGCTCGATGCGGCAAATAGGGCGCCGTTTATTATCCTCCGCGACGGCCAAAGTATCAAGAAATCGTTTAGTGATGATGGTCAAGTGGAATGCGAATGCTGTTTTTCCTATCACACTGCGTGGGGGACGACTTTTGTCGCGGCGTACCAGAATGTGAACTTTCCGGGGTTGGACTGGATCGAACCTGTCAACCTAAAGGATGTCACAATCAATCAATTTTGTTAAAATATTCGACCTCAGTGGCACCCAAAACGACGGCAGAGGAGCGAATCCGATAGGAACATGCCTCAGTTTTCCGAGGCCACGATAAGTGCGCAAAAATGAAAGCCTGATGCAGTTCCAGTATTTCGAGCAAAGCGCTTCGTACGTAAGCAGTCATCCCCGTGGTTGATCAATAACTGGATCAGTTAGAGAGCAGGAATGCTGCATGCAACAAATTGCCCAGCTTGGGTAGCAGCAATCGTACTTGTTACAAAGCCCTGTGGTCAAATTCGAATATGTGCCGACTTTCCGATGGGATTGAACGACCATCGTTATTCGCATCCAGTTACGGAAGACTTATTTGCGAAGCTCAATTGGGGTAAGTGTTTTGCCAAAGTTGGATCTGTCAGACGCATGACTGCAAGTTGAGTTACATGAAGACTCCAGAGAACTGCTCACCATAAATATGCTCCGGGTGCTGTATCAGTGTCACCGACTACCGTTTGAGGTAAAGTCGTCGCCAGCAATATTCGAACAAATCATGGACACGATGCTGATCGGAGTTGATGGAGCTGTTGTCGGAACGAACACCAGCGACCTTCCTTACAAGCTGGATAGAGTATTGGGTCGAATCGATGAATATGGCTTCAGATTGCGTCTAAAGAAGTGCACCCTTTTTTGGACTCCATAACATTCCTCGGCTTCATAAGTGACAAAGAAGGAAAACGTCCAGACCCGACAAACACCGAAACCATCAATCGCATGCCGCCACCCACAGATGTCCCTACGCTATCTTTCCTTGGGCTCATCAACCATTATAGCCCATTCTTGCCACGCATGTATGACCTCCGGGACCTATTAAAGGAACTGTTAACTAAGGACAAACTTTAGCACTGCTCAGAAGAATGTCAAGAATCATTTGCCAAAGTCAAGAAACTGCTGTGCTCGAAGCTCCTACTGATCCACAACAATCCCACCCTGGATGTTATGGTGGCTGCGGATGCCTCGAACTATGGTATCGGAGTAGTCATAGCTCACTGGTTGTTCGATGGTTCAGAAAAAACCATAGCTCTCGTAGCTAGGTCGCTATCGGTTGCAGAAAAGAATTATGGCCAGGTTGAGAAGGAAAGTTTGGCGACGGTCTATGAAGTGAAGAATTTCCAAAAGAGATGTACGGGAGAAAGTGCACGCTGCTTACCAACTACAAACCCCTGCTGCCGATTTAGGCTCAGTCAGGTATCCCAATATACGCAACGAAAAGGCCGCAGCACTGGGCTACAACACTTTGAAGTGAAAAATGTCACCAAAAAAATTTTGGCCAAGCAGATGCACTCCCATTTGTTGTCGAACGAACCATGTCAGATGGAAGATACCGTTCTTGCCAGAATCTCGATGAAGACTGAAGTGAAACGAGTGGTAGCGGAAAGTTTCCAAAATCTACCAGTGAGTTTCGAAATGGTACGCGATGCGACGACGAAGAATCCCGTTCTACTACAGGCCGTGGAATTTCACACCACTCAGTTTCAAAG